CCTGATAAAGAATTGTTTACCATTCCCCTCAAAACCTTTGGGTGCACTTGCTTCGTTCAAATCCTTGGCCCTCATCGTTCCAAATTTGATCCTAAGGCCTCCAAATGCATTTTCCTTGGATATGCCCAAATTCAAAAGGGATATTGTTGTTATGAACCCACTTCTAGAAAAAGATTTGTCTTAATGGATGTCACTTTCTTTGAGGATAAACCCTATTATCCAAGGGTTTCTCCTCAGGGAGAGAATAGTGAAGGTAGGAGTAGCTCATCAGAAGTTCCTTTACCAATCCCATTAAGTGAAGAAGGATGTAATGGGGAAGGATGTCAAAGGTGCAAGGATGTGAGAGTCTATCACAAACGTTGGAGATAGGTTGATTTCGGACATCAGCAATGCAGGCCAGTCCCAGTCCCCTCTGTAGAACCAGATCTAGGTACCACAGTAGCCCCAGTTCCTCCTGTAGATCCAGATCCAGGTATCAGTAGCCCCAGTTCCTCCTACAGATCCAAATCCAGGTACCACAGTTGAGAGACATCCAACCATGGAACCTTCACCTTCATTTGGTGACCTTGATCTCCCCTTAGCAGTCCGAAAAGGCAAACACTGTTGCACCATAGCTCATTGCATTTCTTAGTTTTTATCCTATGGTCATTTGTCTCCCTCCTACGAGTCTTTTTTCGCATCCATTGTTGATATTCCCATTCCTAGAACAATACAGGAAGCATTGGAGATACCAGAATGGAAAGATGCAATAAAAGTAGAAATGGATGCCCTCGTCAGAAACAATTCCTGGGAGATAGTTGATCAGCCCAAAGGAAAGAAACCAGTTGGATGTATGGGTATTCACTGTGAAACATAATGCTGATGGTTCTATTGAAAGGTATAAAGCCCGATTAGTTGCAAAAGGATTCACTCAGACATATGGTATTGACTACTTAGAGACTTTTGCACTAGTAGCAAAGATGACCACTATCAGAGTCCTATTATCTCTTGTAGCTAATTACTCTTGGCCATTGTATCAGATGGATGTCAAAAATGCCTTTCTCAATGGAGATTTGCAGGAAGAAGTTTACATGTTGTTGCCTCCAGGATAGTATAGCACGGAGACAGGAAAGGTTTGTCGATTGAACAAAGCTTTATATGGACTAAAACAGTCCCTAGAGCTTGGTTTGACAGATTCAGACGAGCCCTTGATAGGTTCAGATATGTGGAGACCCAGTTAAACCACACCTTGTTTATTAAGAGAATGGATTCTTCCGTAACCTTGCTTGCTATGTATGTGGATGATATTGTAGTAACGGGGAGTGATACTAGTGAAACTGAGTCTCTTAAGCAACTCCTCCATCAAGAATTTGAAGTAAAAGATTTGGGGGAATTACGATACTTCTTGGGCATTGAGGTAGCTAGATCCAAGCATGGGATTTTTGTCTCTCAACGAAAGTATGTCCTTGATTTGCTAGAAGAAACAAGAAAGTTGGGAGTTAAGCCTGCAGGCACACCTATTGAGCAGAATCACAGGATTAGTGTAGAAGGTGGAGAGCCTATTGAAGATAAAGCTATGTTCTAGCAGTTATTTGGAAAACTTCTCTATCTTTGCCTCACACGACCTGACATTAGTTATGCAGTCAATGTAGTTAGTCAGTATATGCACTCTCCTAGAACTACTCACCTCCTTGCGGTTGAAAGGATATTAGCATATTTGAAGAGGTTTCCAAGCAGAGGCTTTTTGTTCAAGAAAAATGGCCACATGAAGATAGAAGTCTACACAGATGCTGATTGGGCTGGGTGTGTTGATGATCGAAGATCTACCTCTGGATATTGCGCCTTTGTAGGAGGTAATTTGGTCTCTTGGAAGAGTAAGAAACAAAGTGTTGTTCCTCGTTCCAGTGCTAAAGCTGAATATAGATCCATGGCAAATGGTGTGGCTGAGATTCTATGGTTGAGATCATTACTTGAGGAATTGGGTATTGTTTATGAGAAACCCCTAATGTTGTACTGTAATAATCAAGCTGCCATTAATATAGCACATAATCCAGTACAACACGACAGAACTAAGCATATTGAAGTGGATCGGCATTTTATCAGAGAAAGGGTTACATCTCAAGAAGTATGCCTTCCCTACATTGCCTCTGACATGCCAGCTTGCAGGCCTTCTCACCAAGGTTGTCTCAAGAAAGAAATTAGAAGAAGACCTATGCAAGTTGGGAATGACAAATATCTACTCCCAACTTGAGGGGGAGTATAGGAAACTGTGGACCCCACATTAGTATATGTGTGACACCTTGGATGTACTTAGATTTAATCAGCTTTCCTAGTAGGATTAGTTTCTTTTTATTCTATCTTATCTTGGATTAGTTTTAATTTTAATCTTATCTTATCTTGCCATGTAAGCATTGAGTTATTTTACAATTAGGAAACTATGTATATAAATTAAGGAGTGGGGCGGCTGTTTCAGCAACACCAACCACTCTCTTCTTTCTAAAACCTCTCCATGAGTTCTCCCTCTTCATCTCTCTTCTTTTTCTTCTCCTCTTCTCTTTTCCTTTCTTTATTTTCTGTTCAAAACCTAAGAGATATTTGTAGTCTTGTACGACTACTAATGTAACTCCACATGCCATCATCCTCCTTTTCTAGCCTACCTACCTATTACCAATTTTGAATCTCCTTCAATGACCAATCTATTAATGTTTAGCTACTTATCCCTTTTTGCACCTTTTAAAACAGCCATAATTTTAGCTTGAGTGAGTTCCCCTTCCCCAATTTGGCCTGAAAATATAGCAATAACCTGAGCTTCCTCATTCTTAAAAACTCCTCCAATACTTTTACTAGGGGCTGAGGATGCCACAAAGGATGGGGAACATTTTTACTAGGGGCTGAGGATGCCACTTCCTTCCAGTTATATAGCAAATCCGTTGTAGGAATATCTTCAAATAAAGCCATCGGTTTCACCCAGCAAAGGAAGCCATATGTTTCCTTTCCTCTCATACTGTCCAACAAATCACAGCTCTTGTGCATCTCCATAACACTCTTCCCCACTTCTTTGTCCAGCTATGATCAAAAGAGTCAAAAAAGGCTTTGCACAATTGGTGGAGTTCACCTACAACCAAACAAAGAGAGAAATCAATCCCAAATAGAAGAAACAAAGGGGTAGGAGATTAGTAAATGATAGCAAGACTCAACATCAGCTTTACAAAGAATGCACCAATTAGGGGATAAGCACCAAAATGCTTTTTTCTTTCAAGTATATCACAGGTGTTAATCCTTCCCAATAGAAAGCCTTAGTCCTTGGAGGAATCGGTTTACCCCAAATTCGGAAAGGGTTGCCCAAGACTATCAGAAGGTTGAGCTAAGGCTTTGAAAAAAACAAGCATAGAGAAGGGAATTGGTCTTTTAGTGGCGAACTCCCCACGCAAACATGTTCCCAGAGCTTTGCTAGACTTCCAAAGCAAAGATTATACCTGGAAAAGGGAGGGAATGAATGTAGAATGGAATGTATAGACTTCCTAGGAGAAGCACTAGTAGCTTGAGCCAATATTTCCGCATCCCAGCTCTCAGCTGGAATGCTTAAAATCACCTTAGCCCATAGTTTATCCCTCTCCACTGGAAGTCTCCACAACCATTTCCCTTACAGAGCCATATTCCTAAGCCACCAAAACTCCTACTTTTACCACAACTTCCAACTAACCCTATGAACCTTTCTTTCCTCCCCTAATTCCCACAAAAGAATCTCTAATTAGTTTCTTCAAGCTTCTGCAAACCCCTGTCGGAATTTACACCGATAAAAGGTGAACAGGCAGGTTGGCCAAAGTTGACTTGATTAATGTAATTCTGCCACCCAAAGATAAATAATTCCTCTTGCAATAAGCTAATCTCYTTGTAAATCTGTCACTACAGGGTTACAATAACTTTCATTTCTCGGGCTATCTCCCAAGGGAAGGCCCAAGTAATTCATTGGCCATTGGGAAACTTCACATCCCAAAATAGTTACACAAGTTGACCCTTTCATCCATGTTGACCCCCACTATACAACTCTTATTAAATTAATTTTTAAACTTGACATTTGCTCAAAGAGTTGAACCACCAACTTCAGATTTCTCACCCATCTGGGGTCATCTCCCTCACAGGATAAGATTGTATCATCAGCAAACTAAGATGGTTAATAGACACTCCATCCCTTCCCACTCTCCATCCTCTTGCCAGCCCTCTCGAATCTGCTGTATGGATTTATATCCCTAAGACATCAGCACTAAAGTAAAGGGGAGAGAGGGTCTTCTTGTGTAATTCCTCTGATAGCTGGAAARTAATCCACTACGACCCCGTTCACTAAAATTGAGTAGTGGGAAGTTCTAATACATCCTCAAACCCATTTGCACCACTTATCTCCAAACCCATAGTTTCTCATCATTTCCATTAAGAATGTCCCATCAACCAAGTCATAGGCCTTCTCTAGATCAAGCTTACATGCTAGATCCTTTTTTTCCAGTTATTTTGCTCTTCCACATTCTCATTAGCGATTAAAAT